TCATTAAATGAATGTACATTTCACAGTGGGTAACAAATAGTAGGTGCCAATCAAATCTTTTGGATGTATAAATAAAGAAATTAAAGTCTGTGTCTTTGTGTCATTCACAATCTAGAAGGGTAGTTGTCTGTTTGGATTTGGAAGAGGCAAGACAAACTCATGAAATGTTTAGAAGGTGAAGCATTAACCATTCATTCAGCAAATGTTTGAGAAACTATGACGTGCTTGGCACCATACTGGGGATAGATTAGTGAGCAAACTTAGAAAAGGCCTTGGTTTTACTGAGCTGTCTGGTTGTGGAACCAGATGCTAGTTAAATAATCCCACAAATAGAAAAGGACATCTCAGACTAATGCCAAGAAGTTGCTGGATAGTGGCTCATTTAGATTTTAGGAGCTCTACACACAGGACTGCCAATAAAGGTGACAACAGCTGCCCACAGCCAAGCAATAAAAGCTTTGCTTTGTCTCCATATTATTAATAGCTATTAATAGCTTCCTCTCCATCCATGGCCACAGACAAGACAGCACCTGTTACCACATCCGATCCAGTTAGACACTCTTCCAGACTCTATAGCCAACCATCCTTTGGAATCTTCTTATCCAGCTCCCTTACTCCTGAAATCTGTCTTTTCACTTGCTCCCTTTGTTTGGATATCACAGTTGGACACTTGACTTGGTTTTGTTGGACGCTGTATCTTGTTGCCCTCCTCTGGGCGAGTATTCATCCATCCCAGCAACCAACCTATAGCTTAGAATCCCAATGACTGGTTTTTTTTGTTTGTGCTAGAGGGAGACTGTGTGTCATACTTTCCCACCTCTGTACCTGTATATGCTCCTCCAAACAGCTTCCATCCTTTCTCCCCAGCTTCTCTAAATTAAATCCAAACACTCCAGGTCTAGTTCAAGTCTGATCTCCCCTAGGAGGTTTCTGATCACTACATTACTCCTATACTGTACATAGTTTCTGTCAGTTTAGAAGTAAAAGGGATAGTCTTAAAATGTAAATCACACACACACACACACACACACACACACACACACACACAAAACAACTGTGAATCACTTCATATCACGCCCTGCTTAAAACTCTCTAGGGGCTTTCTTTTCTCCTGAAGATAAAACCCAAGGTCATTACCATGCCCTGCAAGGCCCTACTTGATCTGTCTCTACAGTTCTCTCTGATGACATCCAGTACTTTTCCACCACCCCACTCACAGAGCTTCTGCACACTGGCTTTCTTTGGGTTTCTAAAATATGTCAACCTCATTCCTACCCGGTGGCCCTGGCATTTGCGGTTCCCTTTTCCTATAGAACAGTCTCAGTATTCAGAACAGAGCCCACCTGCCTACTTCAGGCCAATCTGTTATTACCTGCTCTGAGAGACCTCCCTTGAGCACCCACTCCCAAGTTACTTCTACTTTACCCTAGTCAGTCTCTATTAAATTGTCCTAACTTATTTTCTCATGGCTTTTAGCACACAAATTGTTCTGTTTACATATAGGTATAAAGAGAGACTCTTAAGTATCTCAACTTCCCAGGCAATCCTGATTACTGCCAAGTATGAACACATCTCAACTACAGCTGTCTACTTACTCCTTTCTTGGACATAGGTTTCCACTGATACCTCAAGTTCTTTCTTCTGATGTCTGTTCAATCTTCCTCTAGCCCTCTCAGACACACCCCTCCCCTGTGTTTCCATGCATACTACATCCACGAGGAACATTTAAGTATTATATTCCTCAACAAAGTTGAGGGCTGTGGGCCACTCAATACTCCATCACTCCACTACTACAGCAACCAGCCAACCTATCTTTCACTTTCTGGATTTTCCAGAAGGAGTCAGACTCAAGGGTACAGTGTTCTCCAAACTAAGAAGAGATCTTATTAAACTCTGAATGGTCTCCTTAAAATACCTCTTTCTTAATTTAAAAGGAAGAAGGAGGCAAACCCACCCTTCCCATGCTTAGGGTAGCACTCAAAGAATCCCAAATGCTCTCCAAAGAAATTTTGTTAGAAGACACTACATCCCAAAATTGCAAAGAAAGCAATATATATATTTGAGTAGAGTGAGAAAAGGACTAAAATGAAGCATGTATCTATTAAATGTACGCAGCTAATGAATCACTGAACACTACATCAAAAACAAGATGTACTATATGTTGGCTGAGTGAATTTAAATAAAGAAAATACAGCGTATATACATGGTTCATGCATTCATTTTCAAAATTAACTTATTCTAGGACAAGTAACTATCAGTAATGTCAATTATGTAAATGACACTCAAGGCACAAGTTGTGATGAGCACTGGGTGTTTTACGTAACTAATGAATCATTGTACACTACATCAAAAATGAATGATGTACTATACAGTGGCTAACTGAACATATTAAAAAAAATAAAAATTAAAAAAATTAAATCCATTTAAATACAAAAAAGTGATACAATTTCATGAGATATATCTTCCCCAGAAACTAATAGAATTTGAACAGCAAAAATTTAAAAAAAATTTAAAAAGAAATTTTGTTCTCTTATCTTCAAGGCTGACTTTGTTATGCTTATTCCAAAAGAGGGTTTTAACAGATACAGAAGTGGATTTCAACACCACTTTTTTTTTTAAGATTTTATTTATTTATTTGGCAGAGAGGTCGAGAGAGCACAAGCAGGGGAAACAGTAGAGGGAGAGGGAGAAGCAGGCTCCCAGCTGAGCAGGGAGCCCGAAGCGGGGCTCCATCCCAGGACCCTGAGGATCACGACCTGAGCCGAAGGCAGACGCTTAACCATCTGAGCCACCCACGTGCTCCTCACCACCACTTTTAAGTTGTGTATATTGTGACCTCTCATTTCACTTTGGAGTATGGTCTTTACTATCCTGGTGCTTCAAACGAAAGTTCCATTTCAACAGAATTTATCAGGTATCTGTATCCAGAATTGCATTCACTATCTTTAACGAACAATAGGGCATGGGAACCTCTACATCAGAAGGGAAACCTCACTGAAAACAGGAGCTGGGATAGCCATGATATTGCATAACAGATTAACATCAGCCCTCTGGCTCCTCCCACTAGAATCTATACCCTGTGAAAGCAAGGCACTTGTCTGTCTCATTCACCACTGTATCTTTTGAACCAAAAACAATAGCTAAGCACAGAGTATGTACTCAAAAAACATCAGGTGAGTGAACTGAATGAAAAACACTATGTGCCAGGCAACACTGATAAAAGCTTTACATTAAAACACACACTTCAAAGATAGTTCTTGTTCTTTGTTAGATGAAAGAACTGAAGTTCAAAGCAGTTAAGGGACTTGTCTAAGGTCATACATGACAGTGTCTAAGCTGGAATTCAAGTCTAGCCACTCTGACTACAGAACCCATAAATTTCTCTATCAGACTATCCATTACAAGCAAAGCTAATAGGTGTTGTATACTGCCAGTTTCGAAGGGCTGCAACTAAGCCTGATGCTTCTCATATTTCAATAAAAAGAACAAAACAGGACCCAGATAACTGTCATACTATGTACACAAAATACATGCCTAACAAGATATAGGTATGCTGTAGTAATTCAAGAGAAGGCACTATCAGGGGCGCCTGGATGGCTCAGTCGTTAAGCATCTGCCTTCAGCTCAGGTCATGGTCCCAGGGTCCTGGGATCGAGCCCTGCACTGGGCTCCCTGCTTGGCGGGGAACCTGCTTCTCCCTCTCCCACTCCCCCTGCTTGTGTTCCTGCTCTTGTTGTCTCTCTGTCAAATAAATAAATAAAATCTTTAAAAAAAGAGAAGGCACTATCAAACTTTACTGAGCAAGATGCACTACCAGAAGGTTCTTCAAGGTGATGGCTTCTCAGATGAGTTTGAAGAGAAGTTTTTATTTTAATAGTTGTAAATAGGGAACAAATGCACTCTAGGAGAATGAAAGGGTGGGGTTGTAGTAGAAACAGAAAGAAGAGAATCTATGAAGCTAAATCTATCAGTTTTAGTAGCTCATCAGATATGGTATATAAAGAGAAAGAAGGACTATTGATAATAAAGATTTAAGAACTTCAAACTAAAATAAAGACAAAGAAAAAAACAAACCGACAAACACAAAGAAGAGGTCATTACCATTAAGAGGACAAAAACAAGGGTGCCTGGGTGGCGCAGTTGGTTAAGTGACTGCCTTCGGCTCAGGTCATGATCCTGGAGTCCCTGGATCGAGTCCCGCATCAGGCTCCCTGCTTGGCAGGGAGTCTGCTTCTCCCTCTGACCTTCCCCCTTCTCATGTGCTCTCTCATTCTCTCTCTCTCTCTCTCCCTCTCTCTCTCTCTCAAATCAATAAATAAAATCTTAAAAAAACAAAACAAACAAAAAAACCTGATTGTGATTTGGAACCAAAACTAAAGGCAATGACAAGAGTCTATAGGATCAATACATATGTCAAAAAATTAGCTAGATTCTGAGGACTGCTAGTGGACTTCAAAAATTTGTGGTGGACCCAAACAGCATCTTTCAAGAGATGAAACTCTGCTCTGGAAAGTGGGGAAATAGGTTTATTAGGCTTTTCTATTATCTATTAATATAATTAATATGCATCTATTAGCTTTTCAGAGAAAGCAAAAAATGATAACAGGTCCAAAATAGTCACTGTGGTTTCTGGTACGTCATTACCATCTCTGGGCTGTTCATTATAGTATTTGGCAAGTATACAAGACCAAGCTTAGCTTCTTGGTATCTGGTTGCCTGAAGGTTATGCACAGCCATGCCCCTTTACATGTAGCTACAGGGGAAAATCCCCATAGGAGGGGTTGAGAATTATCTGTCCTGCCTGTGGACAACGTGGAACAGACAGAGGAAAAGCTAGGAGCAATAACATATATATTTAACATTTTAATTTTCACACAATACTGATTTCCAGTATCATTGACAACAGAGTATAGTTAAAAATCATGAGGCATTTGAGCTTCCATATATCTTTCTCTATTCATCACTTGAGATGTGCTTCTAGGTCTTTATTCTTCTTCCAGAATACTGAACAGGGATTTACTCCTTAAAGTGCTTGAGTCATTTGAATTTGTCAAACCATGGAAAGATCCCTGCGTCACCAAGGACACAACAAAATGGTAAGTATGGCCTGACTGTGTTTTAGGATTCACCTCAGGGTCTCTGGTTCCAGAAATAAAATGATGTCTGTGGTGCTCAGTAGCCAGCTCCAAACTTAACTGTTCAAATGGGAGCAGCTACCCTTCCCCCAGTTAAGAGGAGATCTCAGCATGTTTACAGTTGTTTTAAGGGATAAAAGTAGAAACTTTGAGGATTTTCATGGCATTCTTGGCCTGTTCTTTGGCAGTCAGCGACATCTGTCTAGTACCTCACATTAGGTCTATGAGAGCAACAAGAATGCATGGCGTAAAAGCTGACCCCAAGGTTGACAGGTCCCCTACCTTTCTTCTGCCACATCAGAGAGATGGAGTGGAGAGAGAAAAACCCAGCAATCAGAGAACACAAGTCCCAGTTCCATATCTGCAAGGTGGGAATGATGGGTTTTATTCTGCCTATTTCCTGGGGCTGTTCTGGGAATTAAAAAGTTGACAGAGGGGGCACCTGGGTGGCTCAGTCGGTTAAGCGTCTGCCTTCAGCTCAGGTCATGATCTCAGGGTCCTGGGATCGAGCCCCGCATCGGGCTGCCCGCTCTGTGGGGAGTCTGCTTCTCCCTCTCCCTCTGCCTGCCCCTCTGCCTACTTGTGCTGTCAAATAAAAAATCTTTAAAAAAAAAAGAAAAAAGTTGACAGAGGATACAAAACTGCAATAAACAGAAGAGTTGTATCTGCCCACCTATTCTTTTCACTTATCCGTTCAACAAATATTTACTGAGTATACGTTTGTGTTAGGCACCATCCTATTCTCAGGGTACGCACTGACGGGTAAAACAGAAATCGTCCCTGTCCTTACAGACCTGTCCACCTACTGGTCTATCTACATGAGGTATCAGAATCGGTATTGTCATGCACAGACTTCATCCTAACCTAAGAATCCAACATATGGATAGCTGTATGTGTATATATACATGTGTATGTATATTTCAAGCTCTGATACAATGTATGTGTGTGTATAGGCATATGTATTTTTTTTAGTTCTGATCAGGGGTTATTCACTTAGGAAGTAAGATTAGAAATGGAGTCTAGAGGATATTATGCTGAGCAAAATAAGTCAATGAGAGAAAGACAAGTATCATATGACCTCACTGATATGAGGAATTCTTAATCTCCGGAAACAAACTGAGGGTTGCTGGAGTTGTGGGGGGTGGGAGGGATAGGGTGCCTGGGTGATAGACATTGGGGAGGGTATGTGCTATGATGAGTGCTGGGAATTGTGTAAGACTGTTGAATCACAGACCTGTACCTCTGAAACAAATAATACATGATAAAAAAAAAAAAAAAAAGTAGGAAGGGAAAAATGAAGGAGGGGAATAGGAGAGGGAGATGAACCATGAGAGACTATGGACCCTGAGAAACAAACTGAGGATTCTAGAGAGGAGGGGGCTGGAGGGATGGGTTAGCCTGGTGATGGGTATTAAAGAGGGCACGTTCTGCATGGAGCACTGGGTGTTATATGCAAACAGTGAATCATGGAACACTACATCAAAAACTAATGATGTAATGTATGGTAATTAACATAATAAAATAAAATTTAAAAAAAGAAACGGAGTCAAGTAGACCAGTATTTGTAAGCAGGCTCTATCACTTAATAGCTGTCAGCTGGGCAATTTACCCCGTTTCTACTATCCTTAGGAGTCTTTCTATGTACAGTCAGGGTAACAATAGTTGCTCCATCTTAGCGCTGCTAGAATTTAAAGAATTAAATCTTATTAAGCATTTCATGAAGCAGCTGGCACACCTAGAATCCTCTATAAATTATGGCTGAAACTTTTACTTGGAGATACTCTTTTTTCCATGCAGCTTCTGGAGACTAGACGGTCAGTCCTCCCACCATCTCGGTGAAGCTTGTCACTGAGGGCGACTTTGAGCAATTTCTAAATAATTCACGTGGCCAGAAGCAGGCCCAGACATGGGCACAGGGACTTACTGCTGCCTGCCCGAGTTTATTGCATTCCTATGCAGGATTCTGAAGCCCTGATGCCCCCATAAATAACTCAGAGCATGGGGAAGCTACCTCCCCTCGAAGCTACCCTGCCAATTTCCTGGGAGCCCGTGACCCCAGCTGCAGCCGGAAGTGGAGGCAAACGAGTCAAACCCCACCGCAGGGAAAATCCTCGGGAAATGTGGCGGTTCTACTTCCAAAGAAACTAACAAAGGAGCTTCCAAAGCAGCTAACCTTCCATAGGCCCATCTTTCAGGACCCTGAGTGGGAAAGAGAAATCTGGTCTGCAGCTCCCTGCCCCAGGAGCCTACCTAAGAGGCAATGGATAGAACCCCCATGCCTCACGAGAGCCAGCAAAGGGCCCTCCAGTTGCCGAGGGCCTTCGTGCTGCTGTGCAACCTCCCACCTCAGAGGGCCAATTAGGAAAGGCTCCCCGGGTCTGGCTGAGGAAAGATCACTAGAGGGAGTTTGCCATTGTCAAGAGCTGCTTCCTCAGGGTCTCGCTGTGTGCGCCGCACTCTGTCAGCTCCTGCTAGTTGAAAGTAATTGAAGCAGGTGCCACATTAATATTTATCATTCCTCCTTTAAACAGCATTTGATCTGTGTGAAATGCCACGCACAGAAACTTTCCCATGAGCTCATTCCCCAGCGTCCTACTTCTCGGGGACACCCGCTACCTAAAAATCGGAGGCTAGATTTTCCAGTTCATTAGCAGAGGACTTGCTAATTGTGAACTACCATGATGCATTTGATCAAATATCCTTTTCTCAGAGATCTGTTTGCAGTTCTTTTCTGCGGAATCTCAACTACCTTCCAGGTGAAAGGGTGTTCACTTCATAGGGTTACTGTAACAAAGTACCACAAACAGGGTGGCTTAAAATAGGAATTTATTATCTCAAAGTTCTGGAAGACTGACGTCCAAAATTAAGGGGGTCTACAGGGTTGGTTCCTTCTGGGGAAGAAGGTGTTTCATGCCTCCACCCTAGCTTTTGGTGCTTACCAGCAATTCTTGGTGCTCTTTGGCTTGTAGCATCCTCAAGTCCAGTCTCTGCCTCCACTTGTACATGGCCTTCTTTCCTGTAGGGCCTTTTTGTATCTCGAGATCACCCTCTTTTTCTCTACGTATGGACACCAGTTATTAGATTTAGGACCCACCTGAATCCAATATAGCCTCATCTTAATTTTATTACATCTTGAAAGACTATTTCCAAATAAAGTCCCCTTCACAGGTCCGGGGAGATAGAACTTCAATGTATTGTTTTGGGGAACACAATTCAAACCACCACAGGGTAGAAGTAAAGAAGATTGGCCAGAGATCCATTTGATACTTAGGTTTCTTTGGAAGGTCTCCTGGTCTTACATACAAGGAGTATGTAGGAGAGCTAGCACCAGAATTCAGGGTCATGAATGCATACTCAGTGACCACAGAAGGTCCTAGGATAATGACACAGTAAATTCTCATTATTCAGGGTAGTTAATGTTTTCTCAAATAGTTACAAATCTAGAACCAGCAAATATTAAACCATTTCTCCTAGGAGAAATACAGGATTAGGTTCTTGTGAGCCCCTGGTCACACCATTTTGATCCACTATATGTAACCTTGTTTTGTATGTCTTTGTTTAAAGAAATCTTATTTCATGCATACTGCTAATTCACTAACACTGAACCCATAGCCAACAACAGTGTAACCCGTAACTGAATGAGGCTTTTCTAACACATGGCATTTTTCTCAATAAGGCACATCACAGCCTTCTTGAAATGAGGAACACTAGACAACACTGCGCTTGGGGTCCAATTTATTTTTTAATTTTTTTAAGATTATTTATTTGAGAGAGCTAGGGAGAGAGAAAGCACAAGCAGTGGGGAGGAAGAGAGGAAGAGGGAAAAGCAGACTCCCCGCTGAGCAGGGAGCTGGGGGGCTAGATGGGGGCTAGATCCCAGGACCCTGAGATCATAACCTGAGCCAAAGGCAAACGCTTAACTGACTGAGTCACCCACCACCCCTGGGGTCCATTTTAAACAGCAACATAGTAAAAAGAGCAAAACCGAGGGGGGAAAATAGCACTATGCTCAAAAAGGACTTGTGTATAGGATGAGAGCTAAAACATAACTTCTCACTTTTTGTTGTTGTTTTAGAAATTATTTTAACAAATACATATTTGAATTACAGTGTGATTGATTTCTTAATGTTACTTTAATGATTTATTTAAGAGAGCGTGCACGCAGGGGAAGGGGCAGAAGTACGGAAAGAGAATCTCCAGCAGACTTCCCATTGAGTGCAGAGCATGACAAGGGGCTTGATCTCATGACCCTGAGATCATGACCTGAGCCAAAATCAAGAGTCAGATGCTTAACCCACTGAGGCACCGAGACACCCCTATTAATGTTACTTGAAATGAAATACTATCTTAAAATTTTCTCAGTCTTAAATTACAAAGTGGTTAGTGTCTATAGATAAACCCCATGAACAAAAGATCTTTAGGGTTCTCAGTAACTGGGGACCTGAGGCAAAAACATTTAAGAACCACTGACACAGGGGAAAGAAAAGTGATCCTAGATAAGCAACTGCACTCCCCAATACCAGGTTCTTCTTTGAAAAAATGAGAATAATCCTAAATGCTCACAGGGTCACTAGAAGGAGAAAGTGTGCTGAGGTGTGTGGAGGTACCGTGCAAACTTCACAATACTCACAAAGGTGATTTCCTTACTATTCATGACAATTTAGACTAAAATTTCATTAACTATGCCAGTAATAACTACTTTCCTGTCATAAAAATACATGGATTTAAATCATCAAGTAAAACATTTTTATCTCATCCCCAAGACAGGTTCGTTTTTGGGGTTTTCGTTACTTTTTTAAGTCTTTAAACTTCAGAAATTCTGATCACAGGTAAGACTCATTTGTAAAATTATTTCCTAATCATGTTTTTGGAGTACATGTAGCTACTGCAGCAAAACTCTGGAAAAGATTTGCAGTGGCATGAAAGCAAGGAGTAATGGTATGGTTGCATGAACCATCTAGGAGAGCCAAACTACAACACCGAGGTAAGACTCACTGACCACCCACTTCCTGAGGATAGGAGCAAATAATGTTAGTGTGGCAAACAATAGCAACTTCCTCATCTAATGCCTCACCTAAAGCAGGAATCTAAGAATCTGACAATTTCTCCAGTCTCTGTTTAAATACTTCCAGAAGTTGGCGACTTACCACCTCATAAAGCAGTTCATTTTATGTATTACAATTTTTTTTCATTATGCCTATCTGATTATTTAAAAAAGCAAAGGACCTTCTTCTTGAGTTTTAACAAGTTCCCAAGTGAGGTTGCTGCTGCTGGTCAGACACCAGCCTTCGAGAACCATGGATCCAGGAGTCTAACCACAGTTCCTCACACAACTTATGTGGTGGGCATGTTCTGACTTGTATCCAGCTGACTTTCAACAGTGCCCATTGACAGTTCTGAGATGGTCTACATGGCAAACTCTCAGTAACTGCTTCTTAATAGAAGAGCAGTGGTGTGAATAATCCACTACCATGGATAATCCAAAAGCCTTTTCAGCTTGCTTTTGGAAGGTGTGCAAGTCGGATTTTAATTTTTCAGGATCACTGGATTTGCCTTCTAATAGGTTTTGCTGACTGAGGCCAATGTGAAAATTGAGTGACTGTTTCCTGGGTAAACACATGCTTTCCCCAGAGCGGGGGCAAGCCAGCTAAGCCTAGCATGCTAGCCATGAAGACAAAACTGGCATCCATAATCCACAAGGCAGACCACCTCTGTAGAGCATAACTGAGAGCTGAATCCACACAGAACACTTTTAAAATTGTAGTTACTAAAAGTATGTATGAGAATTGGGAAGTTTGGGGGGAAACTCATCATTTGTTTTATACGGTCCCCAAAATAATTAAACTCAAGCAATGTATGGCATCCAAACTCTTTCCTTTGTACCCTGTGTCCAACCACTCAAGAAACAAACAAAAACCATGAAAACCTGTGTGTGTGTGTGTGTGTGTGTGTGATTTTACCTTAGGGAGGTTATAAAAGAAAACCACCACCCAAAAGCTCATAAATCCCACCATTGTAACTGATAAAGTTCAAGCATGTGGTTAGAGGTAGCTGTCATCTATAAAAGTAGTTTCCAGTAGTTGACTTGTGGATAACCTGTATCACAACCAACTGAGAACTTATTAAATACAGATTCCTTCCCCTGCAACTCGTCCCTGAAATTCTGTGCGGTCTCTGCTCCCCTCTGACAATCTAGGTTTCCTCTTCCATCTCAGGGTCTCAAACGATACACAGAATCAATCAGCTACTCCTAAACCAACGTGTAAATATTTGGGGGAAAATGGTTATTTAGAGGCTCTGTAAATAAAGTCTTATTCTCACAGAAATGCAAAATAACGCCAGAAAGGGGGGAAATGTTAACACTACCTACCATTTTTTTAGCTCTTATCAGAGATCAGATACTGTGTTAAATGCCACACACAATTATTGTACTTAATCCTCACAAAATGTGACCAAGTGGGTCTTTTTCTTGGCCTCACTCCACAGGTAAGAATACTGTGTGTCCCCAAATCACACAGAGTGGCACATCTACCACTAGAATCCCCTTTGCCAGACTGAAAGCCCCTTCTTTCAACCACTGTGCAATATCATCCCCCAAATAAACATACGCCAATTACAATATCTCTTTAAGAAAAATGCCTCCTTGCAAATCATCGTGTGTACAACAATCTGTTATGCGTTACTTACATAGTAAGATCTTCTGGTCACTGGTGTCAGCCATGCTAACTGTGACCAAGTGGACTTCACTTGCCACAGACACAGTTCTAGGGCTTTACATTACACCTGTGCTCTGTATATTGCTCCTCTCTTTCCTCAGGTCTTTCTCTTGGAAGGTGAGGTAATGGATACTGCTCGAAAGTAGGAAGGCACTAATGCCCCATGGAGGAAACCTTGGGACAATGAAAATCTGGGGGGAGCAAATAAATGGCTTCCTTCTTCCCTTGCAGGAACTGTCCTGAGAAGCAATCTATAAACTTCTGTGAAGACAGCCTTGTAAGTTGGAACGATCAATCCCACTTGATCCTAAGCAGTTGCTCACTTGGTAATATGGTTTATATTGGCTCATTGATCCTTGTTCCTTCCCTGCCTCATACCCCTTTCTCCTTCAGTGTGGCTCTCTGGGACTGTACCCACTTCATGGCTCGGCTTTCTAGAATCTCTGGCTGGGACAACTGGCAACTTGCCAGCTCCAAAGTACATGCAAGTAACAGTGATACTTTCAGCCCTTGTAAGGGGTGGAGCAAACGAGGAAGAAGAAAACTAGGGAACCACCTAACTATGAGATAGTTTTAAAGAAGACAATACAGGGCGCCTGGGTGGCTCAGTTGGTTAGGCGACTGCCTTCGGCTCAGGTCATGATCCTGGAGTCCCTGGATCGAGTCCGCATCGGGCTCCCTGCTCGGCAGGGAGTCTGCTTCTCCCTCTGACCCTCCCCCATCTCATGTGCTCTCTCTCTCTCTCTGTCATTCTCTCTCTCAAATAAATAAATAAATAATCTTAAAAAAAAAAAAGAAAAAAAAAAGAAAATTCTTGGTACAGCTTAAAACTGATTGTTTTTCGGGGCGCCTGGGTGGCTCAGTCAGTTGAGCGACTGCCTTCGGCTCAGGTCATGATCCTGGAGTCCCGGGATCGAGTCCCGCATTGGGCTCCCAGCTCGGCAGGGAGTCTGCTTCTCCCTCTGACCCTCCTCCCTCTCATGCTCTCTGTCTCTCATTCTCTCTGTCTCAAATAAATAAATAAAATCTTTAAAAAAAAAAAAAAAAGAAGAAGAAGAAGACAATACAGTTTCTGGAAAAAGCCTTCCCCTGCTTTCAGCCATGCAATACGAACATTGCCACAGCTTTGTGAGCAAGAAAAGGCAATAATGGCAAGTGGGCAAATAATGAATGGTTTGTCCTTCTTTTCCTACAGGAAGATCTTGCTCTTGGTCTGCCTCCAATGTTACACGGAACTCATTGCCCTGGGATCGAGTCTACAGAAGCCAAGCCTTGTTACAGACCCTCCCCGGGAAACGGGAAAAATGAGCCTCCTGGAACTGACATCAGAAACTAGAATGTCCCTTTCAGGCCTCACTCCAGGGGAACTGGAAAACCATGGCTGTTTCCCCAGAAATGAACCAGTCCGGGGAAGGTGTGGCTGTAAGCCAGAGTGAGAACTGAGCAGGTGTCCCTCAGGACACAGGTTCCCAGCACCTTCTCCAGGCGAACAAAATTAACATGTGTTTCCTTTCTTCTCTATTCTAGGAGAATCTGCCCAACGGACCCAGAAAAACAGAAAATAAAAATGACAAGAGTTATTTTAGAAATCCTTAGGAAGCATGCATCTATATACACTGAATGAAATACAGAGCTAAAACATGTGTCTGAATAATACAAACTCCAAATATGTTGGCCTTAAATGGATTTTCAGATGTGGACACACTAGGCAGTTGTGGCCTTTGTTGCATGTTCCCACGCTTCATGCATTGACAGCATATGAAAATTCGCCAGAGTTCTCCAGGATCACAATGACCTAAATGCTGACTCAGGATCAGATACATGAGCCGTTGCTAACAGGATTATGCCACAGATAGAATAATGCAAACCCAGGTGTGTCTGTGTGTGTGGCTATGTTCACGTGTGCGCCCATCCAAACTCAATACTTATTTTCTAAATGGATGAGTGATATGTTTAAACGTAGATACTGCCCTATTAGGATATAAAGATTCAGGAAATATATACGAAGTTTTTGTTTGTTTGTTTTTAAAGATTTTATTTATTTATTTGAGAGAGAATGAGATAGAGAGAGAGCATGAGACAGGGGAGGGTCAGAGGGAGAAGCAGACTCCCTGCCGAGTAGGGAGCCCGATGTGGGACTCAATCCTGGGACTCCAGGATCATGACCTGAGCCGAAGGCAGTCGCTTAACCAACTGAGCCACCCAGGCGCCCCAGTATACGAAGTTTTGATAACACGGCAAGTCCTATGCTGGCATTGCCTTAGAGGAATATCAAAAGGTGCGTAAGACCTAATCCCAACATTAAACGAAATCACAGTGGCAGGAGGTTATGGTGATTGGCACTGTTACACTAATCGAGTATTTAAGGATCTCACTTAAGAAAAAAGCAAGAGGTACAAAGAGTGGACAGCCAAGGGTTAACACTTGGCAGCATTTGAATTCCTGGATCCACTTGTTCCCGTCACTTGGTTGCTCACCCGCCTTTTTTTTTGTGATGTGTTTTACTCAACCCTTCCCAGAATTCTGTGAGTTAACAAATTCTCTTCTTGGACTGAACTTAAGTTTGTTCCTCTCATGCATAACGCAAAATAACTTATCCTATTACAGCATCCAATGAGAACACAGACCAAAAAGCCACTTTAAAAGCATCAAGTCATCTATGAAAGTACACGCTTCTTTTATTAAGACTCCTCTTTGTGACCAACCTGGACCCTCACTCACTGTCTAACTCACCGGGTCCCGGCCTCATCCACTGGGGAGAGCCCACATGCTGCCCCGGTGTGCATGTGTACCATCAGGCAACCACAGGACAGCACCCCCTGCTCCCACACAAACCAGCTCCAGCTGTATTTTCAGGGCCATCACTTTGGGCTGAGCCAAGAGGTCTGCTTTCACTCTGCGAAGACGTACCAACAGCCGCCATCCTGCCGTCTCTTGCCTGACAACTTTCTGGGAGGCCAAGCATCAGTTTTAGAATGAGAAGGTTTCTCTTCTATCCTTCAAAAATGAGGAAGGCCTGGACAGGAGAGGTCTATGGCTACTTAAGGGGTCATCTTAGATTAAGGATTTGGAAACTCATGATTTATGGAGGGAGGGCTTTATTAGACATCTCATCAATTCCCATAGGTCAGGGCCCTTGGATGCCATTCCAACTTTGCTGCTCATTTCACAGCACAATTAATGAATAAAATATTTAAGCCCGGTTTGCTTCTGATGACTAAGTGATATTCTCTGGCCTCTGATCATCTAAAATCGTATTATCCCCACTGCCACCCGGAATCTCAGTTCCATACCAAGATGTCCTACTGTCAGTTCTGACCTACACTGACAGCCCCCACTGAGCTTCTCAAGGACTCTGTAAGGCTGGTACTCTTCTCCTTGCTGTGTTAGTTATCCCCTTACTAAATGGAGTGTGCTCAGGGCCCTCAGAAAATACAGCTAGCTGGTGGGTTTTCTGTTGTTACAGTAGACCCATTCCAGTGTGCCACTTCTGAGCCTTCTGACGCCTTCCTCCCATATCAGTCATGGAAGTTCTGCCATCTCTTTGTCACTTAAATGACCAATTTATTCAAGCTTCTAAGCCTTATCCCAGAAACATACTAGGCCCAGCTTCCAAAGTCCTGCCACAGTGTCGATCAGGTGATACAGGAGAGAGCCCCCTATCAGCAAGCTCTCCTTATTCAATTTATTATGCTCTCCACCTTGATTCTGCACCCTCAAACTCCAACTCTGCACTTCCAGTTAATGCATGATAGTCAAGTCATGTGGCCCCTTTGACATATAATTCCTAGGACACCTTAGAGCAGCTATTCCTGCCATCTGCCCCTCATCACTGGTCTGGTAACCAGGAGAGGAAGAGCAGGAAGCAGATTCTGAAGACCAACATTGTCTTATGAAGCACCTGCCTCATTTGAGATTTCTCTATAACTTCAAGCAAAAGGTATGGGGTAGATGGATGGGATGGGCTCGGCTCCATCTTCCAACAAGGGAAAGAGACACTTCTGGAGGCTCAGAGGGGTCAGGTGCACCTGCAAGTTAAAGTTGCTCAAGTAGGTCTACCCAGTTATCTTCATCCCCACTCCAGGACCACACTTTACTGGCTGTGATTTGACATGGGAGCCTTACACAGGCTCGGAATCAGCTTTCTCCAAAGTTTTGCCAATCTCCCACTTACAGTATCTGGTTATGTCCTCCAGCAGCAGGTGATAAAGTTCTCTCTAAAAGTTGCAGAGGAGGCCCTTTGACCTTCATGCTTTAGTTGAATTTGGTTATTGATTATCCCGAGCTTGCCCACTCTTCTCTTCAAAATATCAAGGGCAGACAGCAACATCATTATAATCAGGATCTTCCTAGATCTTTCAAATGCTTGGGATTAGTGCATGAGTTGGGGCATCCCTTCCACTTGTATCCTCTATGGGTGCACTGCAGGCCACAGCCTCGGCTTAGCATATGCACTACAACTTCCTGCTAGCAGTTGCTGCTAAGTCCATCTGCCATTGGTTACAGTGTCTTCATGACCAACTGATGGCGAGAGATCCACCTCCAGAAATCCATCCTAGCAGGCTGCTTCCTAGGACCACTCCTGGTACCAAATCTCATGGGTGGGTTTCTTGCCAGCACAAATTAAGAAAGAAACTCAAGGGCTGTATGAAGGGAGTACCCTCTGGTTTTCTTCTTTCTGGGATCACATGCTTATGTAGTACTGCTTCTCTATGGGTATCAACTGAATTGTCCCCTCCTCCACCATTCTCTCTCTCTCTCAATGCAAACTTCCCATATTCCTATGTGTACACAGCCAAGAAAGACAGTCAAAATCAGTTTAAATCTCTCTTCAAATAAACCAGAAGTTATTATGTAGCATGATTTCTAATTCCAAATTCTAGGCAAAAAAAATCTTATTTATCTAGCCAAGGTAAAAGCTCATCAGCTTGGCCACAGTGGTTAAGAGGATAATGTGACATAGAAAAGACTTGACTCTTTGGGCCTATTCCTGTGGCAGCAACTCACTGAGGGAAGAGAAAAGTTTAAGCAGATACTGCAAACTTTTCTATTAGACCTTCCTTCTCTTGACAGAGCCCAACTAGCTTACTGACATGGATATTACCACAATTTACAGAATCAAATATACCAATATTTTCTGACAAAATATTTCTCTGGTTTCAGTAAGACATATGAGAAATACCACAACCTTGTTTCAAGACCAGTAGAATGGAAGTTCCATGAGTGTAGGAATTTTATCTACTTTGTTCAGTAATGTATTGCCAGCACTTAGAAAACTCTCTATATCACAGCGAGTTTTCAGTCCATTTCTTAAGTGAATGAGTTAAGAAATGTCTGATGTTAGAAAGATCTGTTTTCAAGTCCCAAGTCCATGCATTGGATTCTGGCTGTTTTCTTGTGTATAAAACGAGGGCTAATAACAACATCGACTTTACAAGGTTATTTTGAAGGTCAAGTGAATATTGACACTATCATGAACCCCAGCTCTGAGAGTACAGGAAGTGTTCAGTAAATAAGAGCGATTATTCAGAGAGTCATGCCAGGACACCGTAAGGCGACTGCAACGAAAACAAGCCAGAGAATGCAGAGTAAGTAATACTTTCCCAAGAGAAAGATGCGTCTTCCTTTTTGGGTGAATTGAGATAAAAATACAGATAAGCAATTAGAGCAGAACCAAAGGCAGTCATCCCTGTTAAAGCAGATCCCTTCAATTGGTCACAAAAGAAAAAATAACTAGAAACAACTGCAGCTGCAACCAGGAAGCTTCTAGCATGCCCTGATGGAGCTGCCTCTTGAGAGCCAGTGCCCTGAGCCCCACCTTCTCCACAAAACTCTTACACCTTCCTGTAGGAGTCATTTGAGCAAAGTGAAATGTACCATAGATGCCTTGTCTACAGAGACCTTCCGTATACAGGAAGGAGTCTAATTCTGAGCTAATTGCTTCTGGAATGAAGGCTGTGTCTCTTTTCACCAACCCCCCCTTTTTTTTTTTTCTCCCCACCCCTTGCAAACAGCACAGATGGGGAAGAGAGAAGCAGAGGATTCAAACTGGTACATTACGTGGGCACAAACAAGTTGGGGAAAAACATCTTTGCATGGTGAGAAAAATTCCACTCCTTTCTTGGACAATTTCTAAAGTATTGGAAACCATGGCAACTAATATAAATGTAGCCAGTGCATTGTACATTCTCAGTCTGAAACAATAAAAAACAATCTGTTAAAAAAAATTAAAAATAAACATAATTTGGACAACAGACTCCAAAAAACTTCTTATTCCTTTTGATGAAAACTTATGAAAATCAGACATTTTGAAAGAGAAAAAGTTATTTAGATTAAGTTCCTCTAAATATATATATATACACATATTTCTACATATGTGTATATGTATTAATACACATATATTACATATGCATTATATAGTATGCATACATATTATGTAGTATATACTAATGTGTATATATAATGTAGTATATAGCAATGCATATGTATTATACATTTTTATTGCATTATGCTTTTTTATATATTGTATATTATACATTACATACGCATGTGTATATATTATATATGCCCCCCCAAGGCTAAGTACATTCATGGAACATAGTAATGAATAATTACAATTATAAATAAATAAATATAAGTGTGTTAATATATAAAATATGCAATTAGGATCATTTGACAATACCGTTTTAGGAAAAAACTTGGCACTGAGAATATAGTGATGGACCAATTTGGTCCCTGCTCTCTTGGGGCATATAAGCTGGTAGAGAAACAAAGACATTAGTCACATAACCAACTAAATGAGTACGTGATTAAAAACAGCTCTAGAGCTCATCTGAGTGGTAACGCACAGCCACATGAGTAAGCATGACAAAGGAACTAGAGATGGGTGAACAGGAAAGCTGTATAGAAAAATAAGGAAAGCTTTTGGCAGCATGAAACACCTTCTGGGTACGGTTCTGCAAGCAGGTATGGAATACCACATGGTGCTGAAAAATATTCCATTAGTAGAAGACTGAGGAGAGAGACTGATCCCTGGCTGGCTCTCATTAGAGATAACAAGCAGAGGGATCAATTATTTCTATTAGAGGCAGAAAATGTTAAACCAGGTCCCTGTTACACCATGGAAAATTCTATTTGGAAACTTGGCAAACATCAGCAGAATCATGGCGATGGAACAAGTCACTGATGGAATCGACTTCTCTGGGGAAGCCAGAGGTAGTGAAAGGAAAAGTTATTTGGGGGATTAAAAAAAAAAAAATTCCTAACAAAAAAAAGAATTTTCTCAGGATCACGAAAGCCATTTCATGAAACACTGCTCCAAAATGTCCTGCAGACCCATGAGCCAATTAATTAAAATGCTCTGCCATCTTGCTTTTTTCCTCATCTTGATTTTAGATCTCAAAGCCCAAAACAAACGTTCATCAAAATTCCTCTTACAAGGGGGCACTATTAATTGCATTTTTGGAACACTAAATGTAACAAATAATTTGTGTGCATCGTGCAATTTAGTTGTTGGTTGGTCCAGAAATACAGCCCATATATTTGCATTCTGACTTTTATGTATTAACTAAGATCATGCTCCCTGCCCTACATTGGGAACTAAAAACTTAATGCTGGCTTAAGAAATCAAATAAAAACAGCAACTAAACCATACACTTGAGAAATTATCTTCAGATTATGTTGAGTTTTTCACATCCTGAAACAGCCTGTTTCCTACCTTTAGTAAGTTTGAGTTTGCTGTGCTCAGCATAATTGGACACAGCTGCCTGCATTTTCTGCCAGGGTCTGAGAAAAAGTGGAGTTATTATTAGAGCTTGGTATAGCAACCTGCCTGGCCAATGTAAATTTTAAGATTCAATTGTTTATTGGTTGTGAATTTTCCATTGTAAGGGCACCTAGGAAGCTTCTTCACTAATAGGAGTCCAGAGAAATAAGCTGAAAGCTCCCAGTATCCAATCAGAAAATTAATTGGTTGACCCATCCATAATGTCAGAGTCAACAAAAGAGATATCAGACCACACAAAATTGGGTTGTCCTCAAAATGAATAACTGCAGCCAGCAATTTCCAGTATTTGCAAGTGAAGCTCATGAGGCTTTAAGTTAGAAGCTTTTGTAAAAGCATTATTTGAATGGAGGAGTATGTTTGAAATCAGTATTGGTTTAGGTTTCCCCGGAAGCACATTCTGAGATAAG